TAACAGCATTAGCTCAAGAGCTAATAGTGTTAACTCCAAACCTAACACTATTAGCTCCAAGAGATAGTAGTGTTAACGCGAGACCTAACACCATTAGCTCCAGAGCTAACAGCATTAGCTCCAGATGTATCAGCAGTAGATCCAGAGCTAATAGTGCTAGCTCCGGAGTTAATTTGATAAACATCACAAGTTGATCACGTTTGATTGTTTCAACCCAGATATTGTGTATAATGGAATAAAAGCTATTACAAAATTCTGTCTTGTCACACGTTATAGCTTTGTAGCCTTAACTTCTTGTGCTTTAGTTTAGATGTAGGGATGTCATCGCCCCAGATTGCATTATGCTGGTAAAATAATGGTGATTAAGTTAGTTGAGAAATCTAACTAACACACACATTTTTTAAAAGTAATTAGGAGTTTTCACATATTACAAACAACTTTTAGTAAAATAGAGAAATAACAACATTATTAAGGCCAGTCTGTGCAAGAAGTCGGAGATCCCTTTATTTAACTTTTTATCTCACACAATCAAAGTCTTTCATATTAGAGAAACTCTGACTCATGATAGTTAAGCTGCCCGACTTCAAACTCACCGAGCTTCTTACATTTTTTGTGCTGAAAACGAAGTTTGTAAATGATAATACTGGTCACAATAGTTGTCTGTTTGCTTAAAGATCTGCGGGAAGCAGTAACCAGATTGAGAAGCGCAGAAGTCAACGCCGTCGCTGGACTCCTCAAACTTTACATCAGAGATCTGCCCGAGTCTCTGATCCCAGCTGAGATGTTTCAGAGTCTGGCAAAAACTCTGGGTAACACAAACACGCCACCACACATCAAGCTTTACTGCAATCCCGAAGGGTATTTATGAAAACAATTTAAAATTATTTTTTTATCTGTTATTTCACTTCATTGGTTTCCTCTCTGTTGCTGGGCTGATTTTAAGATTTTGGTTTTAGTTCTTAAAGGCTCTAAATGGTCTTGCTCCATCTCATCTCCAGGATCTTCTAAAACACTGCAAATGGTTGTAGAAATTCTTAAAAGTCGAGGTGCCCATGCGTTTGCAGTTGCTGCACCTGTTTTACAGAATTTACCATCAGCCCTTAAAAACCTTGATGGGCTGGTAAAGACCGACTGACTCTCCCTCCTCCTGTAGGTATCCAAGACCTAAACTCACGGTTGGCGTCCATGTTGTCTCTGCTGGACTCCTGTCCTGACGTCAACCGGCACACCTTCCTCTTCCTCCTCCATCACCTCCAACGGTTTGAAACTCATCATGACTTCTGCTGTAATTCAGATGTTCTAAACACGTCTGCATCTTAGATAGTTTGCGACGACCGACCGTGTTTTAGCTCATCAGAGTTTAGAGATGCTTGACGTTGTTGTTTTTGTAGGAACAACTATTAGAGACGGAGCTGAAGTCTTGTTCGCAAATAAATTCTTTGCACTTTGTTGTTTTGTGAATCGTTTCCCCTCAGAGTTGCGCAGAGGCAGGACATTAACAAGATGTCTTTGCTGAACTTGGCTACTGTTTTTGGTCCCAGCCTCTTACGCCCCCCAGTGGCCGGACTGGGCCACAATGGGCCCACGGTGGACATCTCTCAGGAGGTGGTGATACAGGTGAGCTTTGACTGCAAAACAAAGAGCATTGTTTTCTAGAGAAAAGCATTAAGACTTGACATTTTAAATAATTTAAAAAAAAAATGGTAAAAGTCTCAAAATCTATAATTCGGTGTGAAAAAGTTCATTTGAAACTTCGCCATGCGTATTTTTAAATGACTGTTATTTTTTAGCAACGTTATATTTAGATAAAGAGCAAAAGTCAAGCTTCACTTCACGAACTTCCTGTTCTTCATCGCTCTCAGGCTCAAGTAATTTTCAGCTACCTGCAGTGCAATAACCTCCCTGGAGCTCGAACCTCTATACCGTACGACTCAGACCCTGACGATGAGACCACCTACATGTGAGACCACCATCTGTGTGTCGGAGAGAACTTTGACTTTGTGTGGAGAGAACCTTATGAGAACTGCAAGATAATAAATGTATTTATTGATTTCTAAAGTGACTTTTTTGTGGGTTTTTGTCACGTTTAGCGACGCCTGAGGGAAAATCTTAAGCCTATTTTTGTAGTTTGTTTCAGTTTTTTAGTTTTACACATTATGAATTATTTGATTGTCAAATAAAACCTTTGTTACATTTCAAACTCTTAATTATATGGAGATACATTAAAAATAAAACATGACAAAGCAGTTTAAAAAAATAAAAGTGCAAAATTACCACAAAAAGACAATTTTGTGGTAATTATAATTGCAGTAAAAACTATTTTAAAGATAATGTGATGATATTTGAAGAACGTTTTCAATTCCCAAACAGTATTTAAGCACCATTATCTTGATTATCTTGTTAAATTACATAAATCAGATTAAAACAGTGTAAGTATTAGTATCTAAAATAGGCCAGTCATATATCTTTGCTTGTCTGGGTGGTAAACAGAGTAAAGTGAAGTCGAAATGTTGTGGAGGAAAATTCAGGGTAGCACATGTTGTAAATAAGGTCAAGGGTCACCTCCCCAGGCCTGAAATCCAATCGGTCACGGTTCAAATCCAACTAGACGGAGTTCACCACGCAGTGTACTCCCCATACAAGTCAGGACTGCGTGTGTGCACGCATACATGACTTGTTTTCGACCCATCTACGCCACAGATCTGTTTTCAGCCGCACCACCTGGGCAAGCCGGGTTAGTGTTTCCTTTTGCACCCCCTCAAAACCTCCCCATCAGTCTATTTGATCGCTAATCCTGGACTAAGAGTCCAGATCTCATGGCACTAATAGACGGTAGTGTGTGTGCAGACACCCATAACAACATCCAGAACAAGCCTCCGCCCTCCCTGTCTAGAAAACGGTGGGATCACCTCGTTGCACCCCAGCAACATAAATCATTTGTCCCGTCTAACCACCGCGTTAGACCGCTGCAGGAAAAAATAGGTTCCGCTTGACGACTACAAAGACAGAACCAGGTTCTCGTTGCAGACTACAAAGAGAACGGCGTCAAAGAAGGCCTGAGACAACCCAGACGTTTGGGACCAAACGATGGACCAGATGACTGGGCCACACCTGGAAGTGATGGGAACATTTCTGCAGGGAGAAATCAAAGTAACGGCCATGCAACGATCGTCTCTGACCGTCGTATGGGAAATGATAACACAATGGGAACAACTCGGATGGAAAGCCTGACGTATTTGTACAAACCTGGTTTGACATATATAAATACCACAGGGTTACATATACTTTGTTTATGTCTCAAGTCACAATGTGTCTTTAGTCTCCAGAATAGGGACACGTTTTTGAAGCTGCATCATTCACGGGTAGAGAGAAATGTCAAACTAGGCACTGCTCTCTAACTTAGAAATTCAAATACACCAAATGTACCGCTTCCTTAAAGTTCCTGTGACATAAATGTCCTACAAATACAAAAAGTTGAACAAAACATCTTAATATTTAAGGTCGTTTGCATAATAAATATGATTTTACCCATTTTGTCACATAGCTGGCATAATTTTTTTTTACTTGGCACAGCCAACGTGAAACAGGAAGTGACATCAAAGGAGAACTCCCTGGTCTGTTTATTGAAACAATATTATTTGAACTCTTGTTTCTCTGATAGTCACTCAGAATGATCTAAAGAAACATTTGATTCTCTACTGTCTGTGTCATTAGCCATTGTAGTAATGCTCAGTTTACATGCAGACGTCCTCCTTTGACATCACTTCCTGTTTCTGAACAGCCAAATATTTCAACAACTGTTCGTCTCTCAGCAGTTCTTCTCTCATTTAGACAGTGGTGGGCACAGCTAACCAAAAAGTTAGCTTCGCTAACCCATATTCTTCTGACTAAAACACTAACTTTGCTAACACTAAACTGCTAAACAAGTAAAAGTAAATTAGCTGAAGCTAAGACAAAACTGCTATCCTCTCAGACGACTGTCAGTCTACGTCACACTTCTTCATCTCCCTCAAGTTCAAGCTGCGTCGACCAATCACGTCTTATCACGTGCGCACGTAGCAAGCCGACAGCGTGCCTAACAGACTCTTCGAGACACGCCCACAACAGACAGGAACAAGCGTGAATTTTGTTAGTGGACAAAGTTGGCAAAACCTAATTTAGTGGAACCTAATTTGGCCAACAATTTCCAAAGTTAGCGAAAATGCTAATCCTCTAAACCAGGGGTGGGCGATTATTTTTTCCATGGGGCCACATGAGAAACAACAAATATTGTGGAGGGCTGGCACAAATGACTTTTTCATTCAACCTTTATTTAGACAGGTAAATCCCATTGAGCCTCGAGGACTCATTTACAAGAGAGACCTGATGTCAACTTAACTCAATACTGCATAATATTAGTATTTCATTATTAAAAGCAGTACATAACATGGTTTTAACAAGCTAGTTAGAGTATTTGTTATGATTAAGCAACGAAAAAGCAAGGTTTCTTTACAAAAAAATGTCATTTATTCAATTAAATTTCCCAGTACAATGGTAAACTGTTAACATTTTTACCATTTGTGACGTTATATTAGTGATCATTTTCAGTCACATTCACCCCAAAACTCATTTTGAGTTGTATATACTGCTTTAATGCTTTTACTTTATGATAAACAACAGTTTGGAGAAACAGTTCTGGGTTATTGAGCTGACTGATAGTCGATCTGAGCCAAGCCGAGATCAATTTGTCCTCCATCTTAAACACCACCAGTCTCAATATCGTAAAATTTCATGTAAACACTATTTTACAAACTTGTTGACCTTATGTCTACTGGGCCTTAGATACACCCTGTAGCTTCCCTCTTCCCAGCGACCTCCTCCAGTTTACCCATGGTGACTCCAAGGCTATCTTAACTGTGAGATATCCTCGCTCCAGTCCTGGGCTGCCCCAAGTCCTCCTCCCAGTGGAACATGTCAGTAAGACCTTCTTTGGTAGGTGTCTAAAATATGTCCTTACCACATGTCCAAATCACATCAACTAGCTCATTTCAATTTTGAGAAGCAACAATTCAACTCTAGCAACCTCTTAACTCCTCACCCTATTCTTGAGGGAGAGTCCAGCCACCCAGAACATTTACATAAAAAAAAATAAATAGTTTGAATAGTGTAGTTTAGTGCTGAATCTGAAAATGTTTGCAATTTATATGTTTGAAGTCAAACACTGGGTCTATGTTTGACCCAGTGGTTGGGTTGTAGAGAAGCTGTGCCATTTCTTCACAGTGTGACAGTTTAAGCCAGATGTTGGACCTGACTGAACCTCTGCTTTAAACTGAAATGGGGAAAAGGTAAGAAGGTGAAAACAACATTTAAGAAGACGTTTACCCTGGTTGGCTTTGTTAACAACTTTAGTTTGCACTAGCCTGTGAGCAGAGGTGGAAAGAGTACTGAAAATTTGTACTCAAGTACAAGTTCTGCTACACTGCTTAAATTGTACTCGGTTGCAAGTAAAAGTACTGGTGTTATAAAAATGCTTAAGTAAAAGTACAAAGTACTCTTCTCAAACACTACTCAGAGAATTAATTACTTTTTAACCCTTGATATTTTATTGTGTTGTCAATAGAAGGCATTCAGTTGGATTTACTATAGCTACATTCAAAGCACATTTCTCAGAAGCTCCGTCTTATTTTAGTACTAGGAAAACTGATGCACCATAAGATCTTTGCATACTTAGCCAAACTAATAACCCACACATACAAACAATAAAACAGCAATATCATACAGGTAGCTGTGAAACCTCGTATATCGCAATATGTTTTTTGAGATTAGATGCTCAAGTCTTGTAGCTGCTATCACCGTAGAGATCCAACAAAGTTTGCATCTGGACTCTGTCTCCTTTTCACCCTCTGTACATGAAAAACTCCTCCAGGTGCGGGTACAGGCATGCGTCCTCAGCCGTTACCTCGTCATTTTCTCTTGACAGTGTTGTCCTCCATCTCCATTTTGGCTTTTTCTCCAAATCTTTGGTCCATAAATGACTTTACTCTATGGAGTTGTCCTTTGCTTGGCGCGTTCACGATCTGAGAGCCTTATTGGCTACAAAGATGCAGATGAACAGTTTGAATATTAATTGAAATTGCGGCCGTACTCAGTAGCGACTTCTCATTTTAAAAGTAGCAAAATAGATTACATGGTCTAAATTGTACTTAAGTATGAGTAAAATTACACACTTGAAAGAAATACTCATAAAAGTACAAGTACCTAAAAAATCTACTTAATTACAGTAATGTGAGTATTTGTAATTCATTACTTCCACCCCTGCCAGTGAGTTTCGGTTCCTAAAAATGGCATTAGCTAGCTAGCTGACACTAATAGAGGCTACCATCAGCAAGCTAGCACCAACCCAAGGCGAAGTTCGCCAATACAGTAGTCCCTCAATTATCGCAGGGGTTACGTTCCACACACTAAGTGAACAACCGCAAAGTATTTTAGTATGTATATATATATATTTTAAGGCTTTATAAACCCTTCCCACACTCTTGCAATGTTCTAGACTCTTAAACTTACGTAATTTTAACAACATACGTATATGTACTGTACAACTTCAAATTTTTATATGGGTACTCGCCAGCCTTGGTACGGTTCTGATTGGCTCTCTGCAGCCGTTGAGCACCAAGACACCAGACCTTCGGATAGCCATCACAAAACCACACAATGGTCTCGATCGAGTCCAAATAATCCAGAGAGACGCAGATGAAAAAAGTCCGGGTGAGCTCAAATTAAAAAATAAAGCACAAATTAATAGAGGCCAGAGGCGGACTGGCCATCGGGAGCGCCGGGACACTTCCCGGTGGCCTGGTTGCCGAGGAACGGGACTAAAGGCTCGGTTCGGGTCGCACGGACTTTATTATTTTAAATAAACAATTCACTTTTGCCTGGGCTCAGGTCTCACGCTGCACTGCAGCGACGGAGAAAGCCTGGCACATCC